CAGGAAGAACTTTTAGAATCATTCGGGGCGTTTGAGCTGAATTCCGTAGTTAGTTGCTAACACACGTCTCCTGTTTTAGCGTGCGGTTAGTAATTAAGGAGGCTTGCAAGAACCGATTTCCATTAGCCGTACCGTCTTTTCCAGGAGAACTCTTGACCGCTAATGATGCAGCTCACGACTTACCAGTTAACGGGAGTTTGATACTTTTCCGACACGCTCTATTTCACAAGTCTCTTTTGTCTTTCTTCATTAACGATGCTGCTATAATTGCTTGTTTTGAATCTGAATGAGAAATGATAATTTAATTTGTTCTGGTGTTTCTTTTAGGCGTTGCTCTGACTGCAGAAATTAATGAGGTGGGAGATGATCGTTAGTGTTGTGAAGGCAAGGATTTGAGAGGAGACTGTAATAGTCTCACCGAGATATTGGTAGTAGTGTAGGACTATGATTGTAGACGTTTGTGGCATTTGGACCTGCGGAAAAACCGCGCTGAGATGTGGCTTCTTACCAAAAAAGATGAGAATTTGTAAATTGGAAAGGAAAATTCTAAAGGAAATTTTTTGGGCCAGTACACGTAATAAATGTGTGGATGCTAAGAAGTAACGAAGTGCAAATCTAGAAAATCAAGATAAAGGTGGTTGGACCGCGTACGTGGGGGGACCAAATTTACACTGAAAGGAAATCCTGGAGGAACAAGGAGAGTTTACATACGAGGTGCGATCGGAAAGTTTCAAGACTGTGTCAATAGAGGGCGAACCGGATGTAGTACAACCTATGAAATGCTAAAGCGAGCATTTGGGGAGTCCGCAATGGGTCGTGCACCAACTTTTGTGTGGCATTCACGTTTTAAAAATGGCCGAACCTCTGTCGATGATGACGAGCGTTCTGGACGACCATCTTCGGGCACAACGCCCGAAAATGTTACGAAGATCGTCGTCGTACCATCAACGACTTGTGCGCCATTGTTGGGATAGGCTATGGGACCTGTGAGCTGATTCTAAAGGAAGAACTCCACATGCGACGCATCATGACAACGCGCCAGCGCACACCGCCCTCAAAGTTCGGCAGTTTTTGGCCTCAAACACCATGGCCGTCATCCCGCACCCTCCTTATTCGCCGTGTGACTTCTTCCTCTTCCCAAAGATGAAAATTCAGCTAAAGGGAAGGAGATTTGAGACGATAGAAGAGATTCAGGCTGAATCGCAGATGGTGCTTGACAGGCTGACAAAGAAAGATTTCCAGGGATGCTTCCAGGCTTGGCAGCGGCGCTGGGATCGTTGTGTTCACTCCCAGGGGAACTACTTCGATGGTGATGGATGAATTTAATACCTGAGATAAGTGTACGGGTTTTTATAGGCGCAGTCTAGAAACTTTCCGATCGCACCTCGTAGGTAGAGGTGGTTGTACGACTTTCAGGGAGACATGATCAGGATGGGTGAGAAGAATGGAGGAAAATGTGTGAGGCGGCTATGGTTGGTCAAGAACTGTAGAGCTACGGAATCAGTCAGGAAGCACACAAAACTACATACACAGCGGTGAAAATGCAGATTGAAATAAATTACGGTTGTAATGCGTCACTCAGGAGAAGCAAAGTAGCGTCTGATGCTATGGTTACTGTAGTAACGTAATTGAAATGTTCCTAATCTGGTTACGTCAACACTTTACCACTGATGCACAATGGTTATCGCGTCCTGGCGGAAGAATGCTGGTCTCTCGAGACCTAACAAGGAACCAGTTACAGAATTTGAGACTTTCACGGCGAGTACAATCAATAAAATCTTCTAGGGCAACAGCCGCTTCAACTGTTTACCGTAGTAAACCGACGTTTCGGGAACCAACTCTGTCCCCATCATCAGGGTACTGATGTGACTCAGTACCGTTATGATGGAGACAGTTTGTTCCCGAAACGTCGGTTTACTACGGTAAACAGTTGACGTGGCTGATTACCCGAGAAGATTCTATTGAAGGAAATAGTTGTACCGTATTTTGAGTTTCTGTTCGCAGCCAGAGGACAATTCTTGTCCGTGGTTTACAATGTTGTACTCGGTGTGTAACGCGGCAGCCGACAGCCTCAGTCATTTTCGAATTTGGGATGTCCCGGGTTCAAATTTCGGTTCGAGATTTCCTGTCTGTGCCGATTGGTACCTTTATAAGGTGGCTGCTTTCTAGGATATTATGTCATGTAGTATTGTAGAAGTTTGGCAACGTTTCAAGAGGTGTTTATTACTGAAAATGGAGGCAGTTAACTTTTCTGAAACGCTGATAAGCTTTTTTGAGACGACCTAATTCAATTTCCCAGAAGGCTGTCATGAGTTCATACTCGTCGCGCGAGAATCTAAGATCTCACTTGCCTTAAAGTTAAGCCAGTACTGCTACCTTAAATATCGTTTACAATTCATTATTCATTAATCGTCAGATGGTGTATGTTCAGCTAATGATAACGTCGTGAAATATACTGTAAATAAATCCAACCCTTCTTTCCCGGGTGATTTAGTGTTATTAAATAATATATATACGAATTTTAAATAAATTTGAGGTACTCGAAACTCAAGCGACCCTCCGCCATTTTGCGTATTTGAATCGTGGGAACAAATATTGCGGTGCCATCTGTTAAGTGTAGAACAAACTATATGTTTCCCTTATGAACACAACGCACGGAGATCGATGAAATCTTCTGCAGTCAAATAATAGCGTTTCCTATACATCGGATGAAGTAATTACGACGTTTTGGTAACCTGTTTTGTGAGAATTTTCAATGTGACGGTTATGTTGGCATTGAAGTTAGATTTAATTTTTTTTTTTTGCAGATTTGTTTTATTGAAGATATAGGATTGTAAGTTTCCTAAAACACATTGGATGTTAGGGACTTACCTGGATGTCGTGTTGGCAACACTGTACGTGCGTGTGAGACATGGAAATAACGCAGCGTTTAAATATGCATCTGATGAGGCATTAGCGTGTTCATAAAACATGTGTCTTTTTCCGTTCTGCAACAAGTTGTGCTCATAATAAGCCGAAGGAAACTTAATTTGTTATCTGTAGTGTGGGAGATGTATCTGTGTTGCGTAGAATGGGTTAACTTCTGATGTCAGTTTATATTAATTTCGGCTACTGATCTTCGAAGTGTTTTGTGGTTTAGTGGACGAGACATTTGCGCGGAGATATCAGATTAGAATATTGTACTGTTAAAAAAGTAGAAATCATGGAACTTTATGGAAGATAAGGTGACTTAATGAGCAGTGTACTGTCCACAGACCAGGAGAATATCCCCGCCGGGGGAAATCGTTTCTGGGGCGGTGCAGGGGGAATGTTTACTATCAGCTGAACTAGAGGGCTTCTATTGGTGGGAAATGTGACACGCCAGAGTTTTACGCTACTACACACAGACTGAAAACATCAAGCAGTTGAGAGTAGAATGTATTGAGTGCGTCTGTACTTTGTTCTGTGGGTGTTGCGATAATTTTATTATATTATTATTTAGTGTTCTGTCTGAGGACAGGTCCATATGAACAGGATCCTTCCATCCTTTTCTCGGACTGGGACCTGTTCATATACGTTCTTGGCAGATGATCCAGAAGTGGTTTGTCATTGCCTTCTTCTGTGTGTGAATGGAGTAATTGTTGGGATGACACGGAGGAAAACTCCGTGTTGCCTAGACCACTGCCTTGCCCAACACAAGTTATAAATTCGGGCACCGCCGGGAATGAACCCGAGACCCCAGGATTACAAGGCCAGCGTTCTAACCGCGATAATATTCTAGATTAAATCACAGTGCCACTGTGAGGTAATCTTAAAGCTGTACCCATTAAAACACATGAAAACCTATTGTCTGTAGTTCGTTCAGTGGTTGTGGAACGAATGCTTTTAGGATGGGTCGTCACTCAACGCGAAATCGTGCGCATGCGCGTATATCGAATTCCTAGCAGGGATTTTCTCCTGATCTGTGGACTGTTGGTACTACAGCAATCCATTAATAGAACACTTTCGGTTTTAGGGTACAAATTGCCGTGAGGAACGTATTTTTGTTATGGTGCGAAAATTTGATGATGTTCATGCTTAAGACAGTGGAGAGCTGCATTATGTGTGTTCAGTGGGCCACTGTTAAATGTTAAAAGTTACAGCCAGCGGGTGCAATGTGGTGGTAATTTTAAATTTTGTAACTGCTGGTTTTTTTGGCCGTGTGATTGTCACAGATGAACAATGATGGAGATTCTTTGGAACTGTGTGAATAGTTAATTAAGTTTTCCATCACTTGGTGGGAAAATAAAACAGTGGTGATTCATCCTGTGGGATTCGTGAGGGCAAGATTGTCTGTTGGTACACGAGTCAACATTTGAGGTTTGATACGGTTTTTAGGGAAATGTCATTAAATAAGAATATTCTTCCAACACAAGACGTCTGAGCAAGTGTTACTACATTTTAATATCTCGTTCCGGATTTGATTTTTATATATCTGTGAAGTTTGGAAAAGCGCCCGAATCTAATGTTTTGGCGAATAAATTAGCCTTTAAAACTAACAACGTTGATCATATCAGTAAATTTTTATGTTTTATTTCTTTTTGTTTTATTAAAGTGTTCCAATTCGATGTGGCGAAGTAAACAGATCATTAAAGTCAACTTCCATTACCAAAAACTGACATTAATTCGCAATACATAATTTAACAACCATCTTTCGCTGGACGCCGCTGTCATGTTACAGGGATGCCAACACAAAAGACTTCACGTAGAATATTTTGTCATCCCTATATTGAAATGCATTGGGTTTATACTGAATATTGGGTCCAGAACTTTAACAAATCTTTAGGCTGGCAAGCGAATCGAGATTTTGACGAGCGTTTTCGGTTGTATGCCCGTATATCATTGTTATTGTCATTAACGTTAGTGTATTACCATTGTTATGAACAATAGGGGTTTGGAATTTCCGGGATTGTTCTGTCGCCGCCGCCAGTTAGCGTTGCACTCACTAATTAATTTATCACCGGCATTTTTTTTTGTTTCAGAGGAGGAGTGGGGAGCGAATGGAAAGGCCCGTGGGCCAGCAGGAGCCGACCAATCAGGTGAGTTCACTAATCCAGTTGTGTTTCAGCGTAATTTAATATTTCATGTCTCCACACCTGCATTGATACTAATTTGCAGTTGTGATGGGTTTAGATTCTGCAGAACATCAGTAGTGTTTTTTTTTTGGGTGTGTGTGTGTGCGTGCGCGTTTATATATATACCGACACACTCATTACGTCACTATATATAGTGAGTAACCGCCACGGTGGTCTAGCGGTTAGAACGCTGGCCTTGTAATCCTGGGGTCTCAGGTTCGATTCTCGGCGGTGCCCGAATTTATAACTTGTGTTGGGCAAGGCCGTGGTCAAGGCAACACGGAGTTTTCCTCCGGGGGCTTCCCCGGTTTCTCCGTGTCATCCCAACAATTACTCCATTCACACACAGAAGAAGGCAATGGCAAACCACTTCTGTATCACCTGCCTAAAAACATATGAACAGGTCCCAATCCGAGAAAAGGATGGAAGGATCCTGTTCATATGGACCTGTCGTCAGACAGAACACTAAATAAATAATAAATAAATAAAATATAGTGAGTAATAGCATGAATTGGAAAAGAAGCCCGCAACTGGTTGACCCATATCGGCAGCTAAACCACTTCAGTCCACGCCCCCTCGCTCTCTGTGACTTTTACAATCCATTTTAATATTATCCTCTCACCTGTATGTTTTCTTCTGAGTAATCACATGACTTCAGGTTTTTCGACTCGGACTATGTGAGAATTTTTAATCTCATGCGTGCTGTTTTCCTGTCAGTCTTAATATATTTATCTGTTATAACCGGACGTCGCATATAGTGGTTAGCACTCCTGATTCGTATCCGTTAGGTCCCGGGTTCAAATCTTGGCCATGAAACCGCCTGTCTTGACGGGATTTTTTCCGTTGTCTTTCTCAGTTCCACCAGGCAAATGCGGGGATAGTTGTGAAAATAAGTCTGTAACTTTAAAATTCGGTGTTTATTTATCATTAGCTGATTCCACGATGTTTTATCTGAGCTACTGAATGTGTAGTTAAACAAAGTCAAAATAAATAAGTAATATTTATCATAAAAGAAGGCTAATTTGTGACAAGTTCGAATTATGAATCTCCACGTCATAGAAATTTTTCTTCAGGTTCGTCTTACTTCATTCCTGTTAAGTCAAAATAATGTTCTCAGCACCCTGATCTCAAAAACCACATAATGTGGCCCTGTGTTAATAACATAATGTGAGAGACGAAGTTCAACAGCCATACAAAGGATGCAAGATTGAAGGTATCACATACAGAATGCCTCCTGTGAAAGTATTCCAAAAATGTTTAATTATTTCGTATGCAAAGAGAGAAGTATTTCTTCAAGTTACCCGAAAGATGAACCATTTTCCTTATTACTGCACGTGAGAGTAAAGTAGATTATTTTGACGTGGGCGGCCTTGTAAGCAAGTGATGTGCGCATGCGCAGTCCAGCTATTCCACTGTGGAGAATATTGGTCTTTAGCGCAAAGTATGTCTGATACGTCTTTGTTGCTTTCCGCTGCTCAGCTGTTCTTAATATCGTTATTCATTTTTTGTCATGTTGTAGAATGTAATCAGATCGCAGTATTCTAAAATACCCTTAGTCAGATTTTTTTAATACTTTGTTTTGAGTACCGAGTCTTGCAGTTTCTTGAATAGGCATAGAACACCGTTCAGATACTGCAGATGTCAGCGCGTGGCGGATAAGTGTACACAGATGTCACCACTGTCGCCGAGCGGAGCGCTTATTACACCGGAAGTGAACACCTTCCAAAGCGATAACAAAAGCCAGACGTCGGGCGTAGCTAACCGGACAAGTTGATTGTCAACCGGCGACTTCTGCAATCGGATACTTTATAAGAATTTTGCTAGAGGCATTAAAATTTTTAAATGTCTTTTCCGGGATGTCAGTATTAGGGCAGGGGCAACTTCAACTCTTCATTTTGTATTTATGGGTTTCGTATGATTCTCATTTTAAAACAGAGACGATTTCCTTAAACAGCATTAACCATTTCATCTTTGCTATGGTGAAGTGTGTTTTCTTTGCGGTACGGACTGAGTTAAACATTATGTAGACGTGCTTATTGCGCGCACTTGAGAAGGCATTTGGTTTCTATCTTGCGTTATAAGATGGAGGAAGTTACAGAGAAAATGGCAGGCCACACCACAGGAAACGACTTCCAGATCCCTCATTTAGCCACTTGTGAAATGCCCATTAATAAAGTGGCGTGATAAGATTTACCTAGTAGCGCAGCTGACGGTCTGGATCAGCAAGAAGAACTGGCCTGTCACTAAAGTAGCCCCCTGGAATTTATATCAGACGTTTTGCAGGCTAAGTCTCTGGTGGCATTAGTCTTGGCTGTTGCCTTCAAGTTGGGCTGAACACATAAATTCACTTTGCGTCTGCGCAGTGTGATTTCGATGGACAACGAGTTTGGTGCGCAAGGCAAAAACACTTGAAGAAGCTGAGGGCATAGAAGTTTTATTTTAAAAATGTCATTAATGAGATACTTGACACTACTTTTGATAAAGTAATATTTCAATATCAGGTTTAATTTCTGTTGTTGCGATTTGCATGCGTACCCGCATTGCTGATCAATAGGATTTGTTATAGTTTTTTGTTGGGCGTTTTCACTAAGCTGAACAGTTTCTCACAGCAGTAATTACTATTAATTATATGTAATTGAAGTGTTTTTCATTCTGTGTGTATTACATGTCTTATGGACAGGCAGCACAAGACGTATCGGCGGTCCGCGGATTGAGAACCCTCGCTTTAAAACAATAAATATTTCATAACATAGAATAAATCAGTAATCGCCCAGTCTTCCATCCACTAGCCCATCAATTTGTCGAACAGCCAATTATTTTGTGGGCTGTACATTTATTTTCGGAAGATCCACTGTTATACTCTCGCCAACTAATCCGACCTAAATTTATCGCGATTTTTCCCAGTGTTTCCAAGAGAGACTGAGTTAGAACATAGAAAGAGGCATTAGAAATCTTTATCCATTCATGATATTTTTATCCCACTGAGCAATTTTTTACCGCCGTAGATTCAAAAGCGTCGTTAAATGACGTTAGAGATCATTAATCCCATCTTAAAGATGTTATACAGGGTCCGGCGGAGAAGACTTACGTTTTTATGTAGAGTAGTATATAATACTGCGAAGAGTGGAGAGGTTTTGAAGGCAAACACGTTACAGCATGGGCTGTGAGAGTGTAGTTCCACCCAGTTGGCGCGATATCACATGCTGCACAAAGGAGAAGGAGAAGTAGCATGAAGTGTTTCCGCATCGTCTAAACTCATGGTTTCGCTATTTAAACTGGCCGCCAAGATATCCTGACTTCACAGCCCCCACGACTGTTTTTATAGGGTTATCTGAAGAGTTGCGTATTCGAGACTCGGCCTCTCACACTTGATGAACTCAAGGTCAACGTCAGATATTCGATTCATGACTCGTGATAATCTCACTTAGCCCACACAGGAGTGCAGCACTGCGGAATCCTGGGGTCTCGGGTTCGATTCCCGGCGATGCCCGAATTCATAACTTGTGTTGGGCAAGGCCGTGGTCTAGGCAACACGGAGTTTTCCTCCGGGGGCTTCCCCGGTTTCTCCGTGGCATCCCAACAATTACTCCATTCACACACAGAAGAAGGCAATGGCAAACCACTTCTGGATCATCTGCCAAGAACGTATATGAACAGGTCCCAGTCCGAGAAAAGGATGGAAGGATCCTGTTCATATGGACCTGTCGTCAGACAGAACACTAAATAAATAGTGCGAGTATCAGACTTTATTCACAAGATTTTTGTTTATGTCGTGTGTCAGTTTGTTACCCCAGTTAAATATTTTATTCACAGATGGTAATATTAGTCTTCTACCGAGCGGAGATCTCTGGCACGTGGCAATGGGGCAGCCGATTCCTAATGAAGCCAGACGCGTCTCCGTTCGAAACAAATGTTTCCTTGTTCCATTTTCGTGCAGATCGACACATTTCTCAATATTGCTGAGAATGGGATTTAGTGACGTAGAAATACGGGACATCTTGCCTAACAGACACTCGTCTGGAGGACCTCTTTGTGTTCTGTTGTTCAAGAGATTCTCTGTTAAGAAAGCCAGAAGTTGTTCACCGTAACCACAGAGGACTCTGTATTAGAGATTTTCTAAGCTGTTTCATGCCAGTACGCATTCTGTGAAACTTTTTTCGGAGAAATCTGTCTTAAATTTACCTCTCTGTCGTTCGCAGAAAAATACAGCACGCCTTCACAGTTCGCGGGGGTTAACGTTCTTGAGAGCCCCTGCAAACCCAAGACACACGAAACGTGATACTTAATATGTGTAAATGAAAACGTTAGTGTTGGTGTTTATTGGGATGACATCGGCGTTCGTTGTTGAAAGTTGTAAGGGTGATCGAACTTAAGGGTAACAATCAGTTATGTTGTCTTTGTGGCAGAACGTTCTGTCAGGCCAGGCGACTTTTCTATGGAACGTGGAGAATGTACATGGCATTTCAGCGGACGGACGCGTCTACCGATTGGTTGACACCCCTGCTTAATGTTCGGGATAGCGCTGGTGAAACCCCGGGTTATCCCATGGGGATGAACAGGAACTTGGGAGGAAATTTACCGAGGTAAAACTGGGAACATTGTGAAATATTACGGGTTTTCACATTGCCATGTTGGCGGTACTGTTTGTTTCCTCCCCTCGGACAGTAGGATGTTACCTACGTGTTTTAATTTTGCGTCCGACGTCTGACATTGAGGTAGGGACTATTTTGTTCCCACTGTATGATTCTTAGACCGCATTGGTGTGTGGAAATATTTACGACACAGAATATGATAGATGGCGCCAAAGAATTTACGAAAGGAAAACATGTCAGTGCAGTCATACAGCAAAGATATTCCTGTGTCACAGAAAATTTGTTGATGGTTCCGTCACAGTCAACTACAGGCTTCTTTCTGTTCTGAAGAAACCACCCGATGCACGAAACACGACGGCTTTTTCTGAAGGC